CCCTTTATCCCTTGTACAGCTGTTCCCGCCAGTTTTGCAAATTGCAGTTCTTGACCGATTTCCACCCCCACAGGATACAGTACAGGGTGTCCAGGACCCCCATCCTATCACGCCCGCAAAGGAATGAGGGATAGCAACCAAAATGATGGATAACGCTACAAGATTCATCTCTTCAAGAACAAAGCATAATAAGAGTACTATTAGTAAGAATAAAGATCTGTGTATACAGTCATGTTTTTTATTTTACCCGTGAAATCCCAGGTCTTGGGGACTTACTCGTATTTAGTGTGGGGGTGATCGTCGGGAAAAAGTGGGTGGCAACACAATATTTTCACCCCTAAAAGATACCAACTAAAACTACTTGTTGACTATGAACGTGATTGAACGATAAAACAAATTAAAATGAGTGAGATGCGGACTGTTGCTATTACGTGTTATGCTGATTATCTTAAAACCGTAAAAGATATACCAGATTATCAGGTGATGGTCAGAAAACCTTTGAAACACCATTAAACATACCAGATCCCTGATTTTTACCCCTAAAAGGTACGACGGACATCCCAACCTTCTATATATGGGTCCTTTAGAAGCCCCATCCCCGCCCCACCACCACTGGCAACACACACTTATCCTCCCGGGGGAAGTTAAATCCACTAATTGCTATTTATCATATAATAATCTTTGATGTAATTATATTTCTAACATATTTCTCAAATTAAGAGTTGTTGAGTTCTCCGTGTAATTGTCCGCTTGCTAACATGGGCATTAATTCGTGCTTTTTCGTATATCATAATATCTGAACGTACTATCAGAATCACAATTAATATTGTAAATTTATAATATCTTCATAGAAGTAGAGCGCACTATTTATTATATCCATTTGATTTTCATAATAATTTTGAATATTCATAATTATAGACGTAAAAAATGCTCATTAATCTCTCCTTATATACAAACATCCAAAAACAGCTTCTATATCAAAGGCCCTTTGACCCCCATGATCATTCACGCCTTCACGCGATTCAGTTTCCCATCCATGTAGTGTTTTATATTAACAGTCTAGTACACTTGCATGTTTTTACAAATTCATAAGATTTATTGCAAAACATTTAGCCGTTTCAAATGTTTGAATAAGTGCTCTTTATATTCTTTTTAAAAATCATTCTCACGAGATTCAAAATATAAAAGACTGGCAGCCATGTTGGAGGAATAAACAATAGATATTTATGAGAAATATTTTGTTGAAGTTCCTCCAAGATGGCCGCTGTACGTAACTTGAAAACGAAGAATACGAAGTTTGTCGTTTTCTTTGAAAATGATAAACAGGCAGATAGGAAATCCATAGAGACAATGGGACTAATAAATGGTAAAAAGGATCATTGTACGAATTTCTCAATTAAGCAATAACTGTCTTCAAAACGGTTTGCAAAAAAAAATATATATATTTAAATAAACTGAAAGATTGGTAAAAATCTAAAGGACTAAAAAAGGAACAGATGTTTTCAAATGTGATCAATATACCTTGAAATTCGTAAAATGATCCATATACACCTATTTAAAAAAATGTTGTCGGATAAAATGGTGAATGTTAATTGTCGAACAGCAACTGCACGACCGAAAGCCGTCCTGGTTTTTTTTCTAATTGATGAGAAATAACAACTGAGTTTACTGTAAGATAGTCTGTGATAAACATTGGATCCATTTAGTCTTCATTTCTATGCAAGATGAATCCAATAAGTGAAAAAATATCTGTCAAAACAGTTTAACCAGAGTCCCTTTCGGTCGTGCAATATCCCTTCAACAATTGCCGCTAGCCGTTCTCCCCGATAACGTTTTTTGAAACAGCTGTATATTACCTAGGACTGAAAGT